GGGGGGGGCCCGGGGTGAGGCTGTTTCTTGAGGCCTGTAAGATTGAGATGTGAATATGCCTGATTGCCCCGGTAAAGTTTTCAGAGAAAACGTTTAGGCCTTTTCAATTCTTGTACCTTTCTGAACCTTAAACAGAAATTGTACATTGTTTCTCTGTGTTGTCTGTTATTTAGCATTTAAATGGAAGCCACGGTGGGGAGCAGTAAACACCTCAGTTGTTTAGAAGTGTGTACTTTAGGAGGGAGAAATGAGCAGATGCAAATGTGTACACTATTGATAAATGTTAGAAATAGCTAAACATGCCTATAAAGGTGAACAGCCCAGGTGGAACAATGTTCTGCAAGTTGGAGTTCTGACTAAGGTTGAATCTTCAAGAGTGAATCCAAGTAGAGAAACAAGGTCATCATAAAATGGCCCCACTGAAGATCTGTGATGGTTGCATTTCAAGTGTGTGAGTGACTCTTGTAGTGCAGTAAATCATAGCGTGTACTACCCCCAGCCATATGAAGCTGTGTACAAGGACATGGGGAGAGTGATCCGGGGTTAGAACTCAAGGTTGTTATTTAGAAGGTGCGTGGACAGAGGTTGTGGGATGGGGGGACATGTGGCTGTGCGAATGAGTGGGAGTTTCCAGGTTGAGTCTGTACAAAGCCTACTTTGTCAGACAGAATACAGAGAGCTACAGTGGGCAGGGAGATAAGTGAGGAATTTCCTAGCCAAAAGTTTAGTTTTACTTTGATCATAAATAATGTAAACCATTATATTATGGGAAATGCAGTTAATGTCATAAAGCAAAATGTGTATGAATTGCTGAATGGAAAATCACGTTGCTTTATAAAATTATGCACTCAACATTTTTTTTAAACTTTAAAAATGAATGCTTTGGGAGCCTTGAGGAAGGGTTCGTTGCAGGTATGTCAAGGGACCAAAGCACTATGTGTGGTGTGATTATCTTTTGTTTCACGATACTGCTGGACCCTCAGAGTTATTCTCTAACATCCTAGTCCTGCCCTAGGCTAAGACTCTGGTGCTTGGTTCACTGGCCATGAACGTAGACTTTGGTAAGAGATGCACACTAACTCCTTGAGAAATCTGGAAAAAAAGAGAAAAAAGAAACCTGGTAGGCTGTATGCAACCCAGTACACCGCCCTCACGAAATTACCTCTGTCGCCTCTTGTCACCATTCAGGAGAGTTTGAACTTTTAAAAAAAGGATCTCCAGGTTTCTGGGAGAAAGTGTGGTTAGGGTGAATGAATGTATCTGCTTTGTGATTGCTTTCTTCATCCTTGGACGCTACCCTAACAGAATTTTTTGGGGGGGTGGGGGACGCATATGAAAGTATTCACAGTGAGAACGGAGTAGTGACTGGAGTCTAAAAAAATTCTGAGTGGCCATGTAAGGTGCAACTGCTGGTCTCCGCCTGCAGCAGTGAAGACTGAAAAAATGCAGTCAAACAGTCCAAAGGACTGAGAGACACTAGAATGCCAGCCGCCATAGCCCTAAGAGCCCGAGACCCAGATGGTGCCCAGCTACGGGGATAGACCCCCTCTGAAAGGGATCCCATTAGGAGTGCCTAAATAGAATGGGGAAATAATGTGGTACCAGGCGCAGATAGATCATCAAGGCCAGGCTTACTGGTTCGAAAGAGACTGATTGGTGGAACATGCCAAGTGCCACGAGCCCGCTGTGACAGATAGGTCCCAGTCATACGGGAGAGCCCGCGTCCAAATTCATCTGCCTGGCTCAGCTTTCTGCAGAAAGATGGGGCTATCAGACGAACATTAACACTGAGCAAATACACACTCCCTACGCCAACCAACCGTGGGCAGCATTTGCCCTGCTAGAAAGCTCAGAGGCAGGAAGGAATAGGAAAGGGGTGGCTGCACACGGAGAGCACAGGCAGGAAGTAGGCGGAGTGCCGTTACATTAGGGGCAGATAAACCAGTCTGAGTGGCTGCCTGGAAAACGAACCCACCCAAACCACAATAAAGAGTTTGAAAAAAAGAAAATGCTCAAATGTCCTTCAGTCTTAAAAACACTGAAAACATTTATCTGTACTGAATGTTTTTAGGAAACTGTGATAGGCCTTGCAGTTAAAGGGTGTCAGTTGAGTTTTTACAGGAGCTCAGTAAAATATTTTAATCCAGTGGTATGGTACTCAGTCTTACTGGCTGAGACACTCATGAGGGATCTATATTGGGCTTGTTTAGTACCTTCCTCTTTGATGTAGATGATGGAATTAGCAACTTGTTCATTATAACCTGTGGCTGGGCAGGGCCACTCATACCTCAAAAGTGAAGAAATTGAATCCAAACTAATGGAGAGAAAGTGAGAAATGGACTGTTTACACAGGGTCAATTTGATTACCCAAATGCAAGGAAATATAATTGTGATTGAAATCAAAATAGACCAGAACTGGAAACAACCGGATTAACGGACATAAAATAGGTTTGGAAAAAAATACAGGACCCTGTATTTTTGGTCTTGGCTCTGGAGACGGTGATGTTCCACACAGGGGCGTCACTGGATGCTGTGGCAAAGCTAAGAGTGAGCCCTGTTGTACTTCGGCTTCCTTATACCCGTTTGGTGTTCTGTAACTATTTTCACTTTTGGGAGAATACGGAGAATTTTGAGTTAAGAAAGGGGCAATACAAAATGGGCTGGGAAACCCAGACCTTAATCACAGTGTGGATGGTGCCTGGGGCTGGGGCCCAGACAGTGTCTGAGCAGCTCCAGTAGGCAGGAGGGAGCCGTCTGTGCAAGGCTTCTGCTGGGCCAGGTTTCCCACTGGGTGGGGAGAGGGCGTGCTCCTTGCATTGAACTTTATCTGGGGGGCTTTTAATTTATAATAAAGTTGCAGTTCATTAGCACTTAATTTCCCAGAACTCCTAATTAATTAATATCTCTAATGACTTGCTTTTCTTTTTCTCTTTTTTAAATGTTACTTATATATGAGAGGAGCAGATGACAAGAAAACAAGCTCAAATTAGATATTTGGTCAAAAGAAGCAATTTGTAATTGCCTAGGGTAATTACAGCTTCAGCCTCATCTCTCATATCTTCTACTTCACCCTCAAGACTGTAGAGCAGTCATTGATGTTCAGTGTCCTGAGGTACTTCAAGATCATCAAAGGTAGATAGTTTTCAATAAAAAGGTTGAAACAGGATTTTCTGGCCAACCATTTAATATCAGATGTAAAATTTTAAAAACATATCATGAGCATTCTGGCATATTGAGATTTCAGTAAACAAGGGGGTAAAAAATGCCAATGAAGGGGAATTGTGAAAGCTTTGTTTTAAAAGTGCAGATCAGCCATTCTTTTCCACAGAAGGCTAGAGGAAATGGGTTGAGTTTGCAGGTGAGATTGAGGGTAAACAGAAGGACTGGCTTTGTGGTGGTGGTGATGGTAATTGGAATACCAATACAACATCACCTGGCAGTAGTTGTGTGTCTATCCCTAGGACTAGGTCCATGACTCGTCTTTAGTACAGCCCTCGAGAGCCTCTGTGTTTGGTCTAGGACCTAATTCCTTTCCTCATCTTCCCTGTCCCTCCTGTACTTGCCCCTTCTTTGGCAGCTTTCCATAGGTCTTAAGACAAACCTTTCTGACCCACGGGAAGCATGTCTTTTGGACATTTTGCTATGGAGATAGGTGGGGTGCGGGGCAGGGAACAGTAAGAAGACACATAAAGTAGCAAATGAGGAATCAACTAGTAATTATTTATCATCATGGTTATGTTTTTTAATGCAGAGTTTTTAGAAATTCCTCCTTTCAATAAGCAGTATACAGAGTCCCAGCTTCGAGCCGGAGCTGGCTATATCCTCGAAGACTTCAATGAAGCCCAGGTGAGGCATTTCTTTGCGTAGCTTCCCAGAGTGGCAACGACAAGTGACCATTTGCTATACTGAGCAGCAGGTTGGCAGAGGCAAAGGAAGTTTGGGTAAAGTAGGTCTCAGAACTGGGAAACTGCCAGAAAATTACTGCATGATAATAGAATTTTCTTGTGTATAAGGAAGAGAAGTTAGAACGTTGGCTTGGGTAGGGGAGTGGTTCCATGGGTGAACAAAAGCAGAAACTTGTTTAGTAGCAATCTCTATTAAAGTTGCTGATTCTGAACCTGAAGTACATAAAGGTTTTGTTGCCCCTTGATGATTTAGGAAGGTCCCTGGTGTATATCTGTTAATGTACTCAGCTCCTAACTGAAAGGTCAGTTCAAGGTTCCCAGCCTATTTGTGAAAAAGATGTGTCAGTCTGCTCTTGCAAAGATTTGCAGCCTTAGAGACCCCATGGAGGAAGTTTTGTGTGTCCTGCAGGGTTGCTGAGTCAGAATGAACTTGACAGCAACCAGTGTTGAGGCCCCAGGAAGCTGGAGGTGAGGCAGGGAGCTATCTGGGGAACACTCTTGGTCTTTCCCTGGAGAGCGAGGCTTGGCAGGACAGTGCAGTTGCATAAGGAGTCTCCAGATCTGAACTAGGGGCCACTGCTGCTTTTCACTCCATCTCTTTTCTTCTAGTGTAACACAGCCTACCAATGTCTCCTAATCGCGGATCAGCATTGTCGAACCCGGAAGTACTTCCTGTGCCTTGCCAGTGGGATTCCTTGTGTGTCTCATGTCTGGGTCCATGACAGTTGCCATGCCAATCAGCTCCAGAACTACCGCAATTATTTGTTGCCAGCCGGATACAGCCTTGAAGAGCAAAGAATTCTGGACTGGTCAGTTTGAGACTGTGTAGAACTATGTAGACAGTAAGATGGATAAATGTTATGGAAACTGGAACTAGTAAAATATAAGTTATGGAATCTGAGTGGGTTTGAAATTATGTTAGCAGTTCATCTATTGTTAGGGACCTTTTGAAAATGTGTTGAGGATTTGCAGTGTAGGTTAAATTGTTTCCACGGTGTGAGGTTAGAGGGAACTACATTTTAAGGAAGGCATTTGAAAAATTATAGGCTTAATATGATTTGGATTACTAATGGCCCCAGGACAAATAGGGAAATCCGAAGGGTTGCCAGGTCCTTTGGCTAGGATCCCACAGAATATAGTTAATCCCAGATGGAGGGAGGGTGGGGGTAGGATATGTGCCACAGCACAAGCTGTTTTGAAAGCATTCAGATGTACTTGAGCCCCTCTGTTGAGAGGTTGTGTGGTTAATTGTTGTTCTAAGGACTTTCAAACCCAAGGTGCTATGTCTGATACTTCCCTAGGCAACCCCGAGAAAACCCTTTCCAGAATCTGAAGGTACTCTTGGTGTCAGATCAACAACAAAACTTTCTGGAGCTCTGGTCTGAGATCCTTATGACTGGCGGGGCAGCCTCTGTGAAGCAGCACCATTCAAGTGCCCATAACAAAGGTACCTACAGAGTGAGTGAGCGAGTGAGTCTTTAGATGCCTTGCCGTTAGGCTTGGTGATCTAAGTCTCTACGATGTGTGTGTGTGTGTGTATATAGATTTCTTGCTGTTAGACTTGGTGATCTAAGTCTCAGCCATAGTAGGTTGACTTGTTTATAACAGAAGTACTTCATTCAAGATTTGAGCCAGCATAGGAGTTGAGCATTGGGCTGCTATTGCCTTGACTATTGGATTCTAGTGGTATATTTGCTAAGCATTTCTGTAGGTCGGAATATAGTGATTACGTTTCGCTTCTAGTCATGATTAGTAGTGCTACACTTGACATAAAAGGGCTTTAGTTTGGGCAGGATGGATATACGTCTGTACATCTTAACGGAGGGCTAAGTGTATCTCCTTTCCTTATTCCCTGTCTCCCATTCCTGCAGATATTGCTTTAGGGGTATTTGATGTGGTGGTGACAGACCCATCCTGCCCAGCCTCGGTGCTGAAGTGTGCTGAAGCATTGCAGCTGCCTGTGGTGTCACAAGAGTGGGTGATCCAGTGCCTCATTGTTGGGGATAAAATTGGATTCAAGCAGCACCCAAAATACAAACACGATTATGTTTCTCACTAAAGATACGTGGTCTTATCAGTTTTATTCCTTGTTGTTGTGAAAATTGTGTTTTAACCAGATTTTAAATGTGTCTCGTGTGTAACTGGATTCTTTGCATGGATCTTGTATATAGTTTTATTTGCTGGACTTTTATGATAAAATAAATGTTGAATCTCTTTGGTTGTAGTAACTGGAGTTCATTTCTTTGCGCTTGATCTCAGAACAAAGAACAAGACAAACAGAACCTTCTCTGGGACTTTTGGTTGGCTTCTTCACCTGAGGAGCTAGCCAAGAAGTCAAGTGAGGAGTGGGTTTTCATAAACTCTGTGACATTTCATTGTAAAAAGGTTGCCTAAAATTCTAAGATGTCTAAAGTTCTACACGTCTCAAACTGGGCTTTAAAGTAGGTGATGGCCCACATTGACTGTGGTGCCACAGCTGAGTGGAATTAGGCATGCTCAGAGTTTCCAGAGAGCTTAAAGAAAATGTCCTGTAGTGGGTTCCCTAAGTGCTGCTGTACTTCGTTGGGGAGACTTATTCCAAGGAGAAACAAGAGCAGCTCCTGTGAGAACGCTTGGAAGTGTTAAATGCTGTAGTCAGAAGTCCAACATTTTACTGTTGATTGTCCCAGTTGCTGGAAGCTGTTCCTTCCCCAGGCAGGACATCATCCAGGGTCATAGTCACTCAATCTCTAAAACAGAGGTCAAATTTCTTTCTGGGAAATAAAGTACTTTAACTACATTCACTGGCATTGCCAGTCTGAAACAACTTCATTTCCTGATGGATGAAAAAGTAAACGTGTGTGCGGGCACACGCGCGCATGCGCGCGTGTAGCGGGTAGGTAGGGCTTTCTGTATCTGGCTTGGTGATAGTAACAGCCAGCATTCTACTTATTTTTAGGTCATTCTCAGAATACAAATGAATTTCATTCCTAAGTGTCTTTTAAGTTGAGTTTATACAATCAGAACTGTTAAGTACTGTTCAAAGTTTGTCTTAGTATACATTGTATCTTTCTATGCATAAAAAATTGAGAGCCACTTCTAGATACACTAACATCTTTTAGCATAATATTTTGATGTATATTGCAAAGTAGTGCCCATTTTTTATGGACCTCAAATTGTTAAAATATTAGGCTTTATAGAAGATGATTATTAACTATGGGGTGTACTTAAACCTAAGTCAGGTAGGGACTGCCTGTATAAACACAATTCTCTTTACTCATAGCGAGCCACAAAACACATAGCTTTCTGATCCATATAGTTTATACTGTCTTATCTTCCAGTCCTGTAGGTACATAATGGCTGCTCAATAAACGGCAGTTATATAAATGGACATCTCCACCAAATGTTCCAAATATAATGCTGGGCAGCAGGGGAAAGCTGCTTCCACATGTCCTCCTAGGTCAGTGGTTCTCAACCTCCTTAATGCTGCGAACCCTTCAATACAGTTCCTCATATTGTGGTGACCCCCAACCATCGGAAATATGGGTTTTCCGATGGTCTTAGGTGACTCCTGTGAAAGGGTTGTTTGACTCCATCAGAACCGCTGTTCTAGGTGGCTGAGTTAACTCCCGGAGATGTGGCAGACCCCTTCTACATGGAGATGACGGGAATATCTGTACATCTGGATACTGACTAACTGCTTCACCAGCTGCAGGCGTGGTGGGTGATGAGAGAACGGTAAGCTTGTTAGGAATCTTCTTTGACTTGACAACGTGGTAAGACAGTCAGTTTGGTTTCTATACCAGAAAATTTCACATACCGAAACTAGGAGACAAGTAAAAAAAAAAATGAGTCAGTATGCTTTTCCAAGATTGTCTTCAAAGAAATATGGATTGGGTTACCTCTGATCTAGATGGTGTCGTCCTAAAACACAAGAGCACGTTTGACTCTCTTGCTATACTCTGATCAAAGAACTGCTGGAGTAGACAGATGGGAGGACAAAGTGCTTTTCTCTATAGGAATGAGAGAAGCAGGGTTGAGGTTGCCAAGTTTCACTGACTCGCACAATGAATTAGATTTAAACTGCTGTTAGAAGCAGCACAGGACCAGCAAGTTAAAGCTGCACAACTAAAGTCAGAACCGGGAGTGGGCACCATCCTGCCAATACACAACTTGGGAAAGAAAAGCCATCATATGGCTGGACTAGAAAACAGCCCTGTGTTGTAGTTGATCCCAACTCTGTCCTCTAGGGGTGTGGACGACCATAGAGTTCGCTTAAGCTGTCATCTACGTGGAAGCCACTGCCACAGCCTTCTCCCCTGGAGCAGCCAACGGGCTGCAGCTGGGCACTAGCCCTGGGCCCTCAACTCCCTGCCATCGGGTCCATTCCAGCTCAGCACTCCTTTCACCTCGTACTAGAAAACACCCTCCCCCGTCTTCTGAGAGTTTGTGTCCTTGTTTATAAAATGAGGGCAACTAGACTAGCTGATGGCTAAAAATCTCCTTCCAACTATGGATGGAGACTTCAAAGTGCCCATAAAACCAAAGGCTGCCTTTCTCAAGTGTTGTCCCTACCTGCCCAGAGTACCCCCGGCCTGGGTGTAGTATTTGTTATAGTCTAGTCGTAACAGTAGTTGAGCCAAATCTGAGTTGATCTGATGGTTCCGAACACTGGAAAGGATCTTGAACAGGAGTGACGACTGGCGGCTAAAGCCCTGCAAAGAGAAGAACTCCGCTGTGTGTGTGTGTCACGGGTGGGGGTGAGGGTGGGGTGTTGGGAGGACCTTGGGAAAGCATTGCTTGAAATTCTACACAATCACCAAGCTGCCTCACATTCCCATGTCTTTCCGCTCCTAAGATGTTTGCCTTCCTCACACCAAGTCCATGGAATGCAGTTTCCTCTGAAAGTATCTTCTTCTCAGTGGGAACGCAGCAGCTGGTTTCAAATTTACATACTCTGTTGTGAAGAGGGTGTGGGGACAGGCTGAGTGGTGCTGTTTTAGGCGGATAATTAGAATCAGTGAAATGAGGGGTTCCGGCAAAGAAGTAAGGCAGTAGGAAGTAAGAAACAAGCCAGTGCACATTTGGTGGGCTGAATAAACTCTTCGAGGTGGAACTATTTTTGAACACTGAGGAGGTACAGTTGTTGGCTTCAAAAAGCCTGCATTTCTATCTTCCCTTGTTCTGCGTGCATATATTAGGGCAATGCTTTCTTGACTCAGAGGCAAAATCATGATTCTCCATTGGCAAAAGCGCCTGTCCTTTTGACAGGGCTGCAAATCTCCACTAGCTGCCCCACTCACCTTTACGAGAATACTCAGCTGTGCGGCTCCACGCTCATCCAGTGGGCCTAGGTTCTGACTGACCAGAGAGCAGAAACTGTGACACAGATCTAGGATTTCATTCAGGCAGTGAAACACCTACCCAAGAAACAGAGTGGGCATTAGGGAGAGAAGGAATCTGGAAAACCAGAGTCCGAGCAAAACACTTAGGACACACCTATGTCTGACTTCAGGTTACATACTGCTACCTGTGGGTCTCCTGCCAGCTTCTCAAAATGGTACTTGTGTAAAACAAACTCATCCGTCTCCGGCAAAGATGCTGCCATTCTTAGGAAGGTGGACACAGAACCTCCAGCCTAAGCCCATTGTCAGACCCAGCGAGTGTGTTCCTGCCTCTGAGCTCTGCCCAGTGCTGTTTCTGTGCCTGGGCTGCGCTTCCCTTCCATGCCAGCTCAAGGCTGACTCTCCGTGAAGTGTTCCTTCCCCACCACAGCCTGTAGAAGCCACTTCTCTCTGACCTCGGCATCTGGCCAGGCCTTCTGCGTTCCTGCTCTTTGTATGCATCTATGTCCTGCCTCTCCAACTGGATTGTGAGCTCCCCAAGGGCACAGCCACAACTGACACCGGTATGGTATCCCTGTGCCCTGTGCAGAGTAAGCACTTGATAAACACCCACTCCGACAGTCTGCTTTCTCCCTTGCCATCCCAGGCTGACAGTCTACCCGTCACAATGGCTCCGTTATTTTCAACTCAATCCTCTGAAGCAGCATCAATATAATTCATGTCCTCGGTGCAGCAAAAATAGCCCAAAATATCAGACCAGGGAAGTGTGTAGTGATCTGGTCTGACACCACTGAGGACTAAACAGCTCGCATAGAAGGTTCAGCATAACCATTATAGCATGACACAGTTAGGGCATCATATCCTGCTTCACCTTGGAATTGGAACCACCTGTGAGCTTTAAACACTGGTGACGCATGGGCCCCAGAGTCTAATTTAAGCAGTCTGGGTCTAAGATTTTGAAAAGTCCTCCCGATGATTCCAGTGTGCAGGCAAAGCTAAAATTAAGTGCTCTGAAGAAAGCTAACCACCCACACCACTACCAACCACACATCCCCTTCTGTGAAAAATCCTTTTCCAACTCATCTCTTTACCTATTCTGGTCCAAAAGATCTCTAGAAAATAACTGTAAATGCTTTTTTCGGTTGTCTTATCTGTAGAATAAGAAACATTTTAAATTTCTTTAACTCCTTCCTGGGGGTGGGTTCAGCAGGTATTTTTTCCTCTGTCATTGCTTCTAGCCCCATCATCTAATGTTCTAGAAAGCCAAGGTCTTGGATTACAGTTAAAGTTCCCCTTAAACATTCCCATTTAACTTTGCTTTACACATTGTTTAAAAAAAGGAGACTGGACAACTGCTTAATGCTAGTTCCACAGCCTGTCAACCCACAGCACCCACGGCGGTAGTCAGCCATGAAAGCGAAGCAGCCTGCAGAGACCGAGCAGCCCGACTTACAGGTTTCAGCAAGATAAAGGACTGAGCCAGCAGATTGCTCAGGAAGTGGTCATGAGCCAATCGGATGCTTTCAAAGTCTCGGGTAGAATTGATCTGATGAAGCAGCTGTGAGAACTGAGACTCCAGCACATCCACCTGATCCACAAGACAGACAAAGAAGTTTAGCACCTTGGGTATCAGATTACTCAAGGCAAGGAGCTATCTGTCTGAAAGGATGAGAGAGAAAATTTCTGCCCTCCTCATCTTTGTTCGAGCTAAGCCACTCTAAGGTTCCTGAAGACACACTTATTTTGTGTTCAGCCTTGCAGAGTTTTTGCCCAAGTCTTAAGGCCCTCCAGTGTCTTGGCAGACCTCCCCAACCCTTCTACTCAAGACACACCCCTCCTCCACTGACTCAGTCCTACAGGGTTTCAGAAATTAAAGCAAAACATAAAAAGAATGGCCAAAGCAGCAATAAATGCATTGCCGATAAGGACTCGAAATCTTCATCCTCTGTTTTCCTCCCACTTTCCTGTTTCATGACCCCCCAAGACACATGCCTGGCTGGTGGTTCAGCCCCAACTTTTCTCAAACCTCAGCATTTTACCAAATTTAGTACCTCCAGCCAGCCCCACAGCTTCTCTCCATACCCCTTTCTTCTACTCATCCTTCAGTGCACACCTGGAGGTAGTACTGAAGATTGTCCACCAAAAATGCCATGTGATTTCGTAAGCGCCACTTGATGGCGTCGGTCTGGTTGGACTTGAGGTGCTTGCGCTGCATCTGCAGGGCCCAGCAGTGCTGCAGTTGAGCTTGTACCCGGCGCACACTCAGTAAGTACTTGAAAACAACATTGTACCTGGAGAGAGACAGGCGGCTGCTCAAGACCTTCACCCTCAGGGCAGACCCTAGAACTGTGCCGCGCACCCCTCCTCCGGATAGGCAGGCAGAAAGGAGGAGGGCCACCGATGCAGACAAGGAAATGGTGGTTTACGGAGTGAAACATCGCAGTCAAAATGAATGCCCCCGACTATGAAGCACGACAAATCTTAGCAATATGCTTTGGAATCTTAAAAGATCACATACAGCCTCAAACCAGGCATAAACAACTTCTGGGAGCTGGGGAAGGATAGGACTGGTAAGGTATGCTCTCACCACCTTCAAGTTGACTCCGACTCAGAGGGACCCTACAGGACAGGGGAGAACTAGACCCGTGGGTTTCCGAGACTAACTGTACGGGAGTTGAAAGCCTCACCTTTCTCCCTGGAACTAGTGGTTTCAAATGGCTGACCCTGTGGTTAGCAAGGCTTAAGTTCCCACTCCTCCACCAGGGCTCAACCTGAGAACAGGGGCTTCCACAGTGGGCGCAAACATATGACCAGTTGTAAAGATAACAAAGGACCACACAGTGTTTTGTTCTGTTGTGCATAGGGTCGCTATTCATCAGAACCAACCCCACAGTACCTAACAATAGACAAGGGGGGTACCCCCCCCCCCGAAAAAACCCCGGATTGTACCGGGCGAAGCTTTCACAGTACGCATTTTTCCCACTAGGCGAGCATCAAGCAATGCACTCAGTTAGTGCACCTAGTGGGGTCACCTGGGAAGGTTTTTTCATGAAAGCAGTTTTGCTTATTTTTTTGGTGATAGCTGATTTAAGAGAACAGCATGCAGCTGTGAAATTCTGTTTCTTGCTCAGGAAAAATGCTGCAGAAACTGTTGTGATAGTGAACACAGCGTACAAGGACAGAGCTATGGGAAAAAAGTGTTTGAGTAGTTTTCTTGTTTGAAAAAAAGGTGAAATGTTGATTGATGACAAACTCGTTCTGGACGTCCGTCAACTTCCCAAACAGTCAAAAATATCAATTCATAGTGCATTTGGAGTTAACTCCAAGCTCAGACTGTGAATCAAGCTTTCTATTTCGAGGTTCTGAAAAGATTGCATAACAGTGTGTGATAAAACAGGCCTGATGTATCGCTTCTCGGCCTTTTGGCTAAGATCAAGTGTAGTATCTGTTCTTATCAGTTTAATATCTGATACGTCCTCTATCCGAGGACAATATATTAAATTGATTTTTGGAGCAGGGAGATGGAATAGGAGCTTGCTCCGTCCACTCCACGCATCGACCTGGTATTGCAGTACTTCCAGGAACGGTGTACCCCCCTCGGGGGGGATCCTCATAAAAAAACAAAACAAAACAAAACAAAACAAAAAACAGGCCTGATGTGAGGCAGATGGGGGACTGGTTTTGTCACACGTCAGTGTGCCAGGTTTTGGCCAAAAAACATGCCTCTTTTGCCCCATACACCTGACTCACCTTACCTAACTCCATGAAACTTCTTTTTGTTTCTGAGCATGGAGAGGGACGTGGAAGGACAGCAGTGACAACGTACAAGAGGTGAAGAAGAAATAAGGGAGGTCCTGTCAGCCATCCAAACCGATGAGCTTGAAAAGAATGTTTCCATGAATGGAATTGCAGATTTGACAGATGTATTAAGTGTAATGGAGAGTACTTTGAAGGTGATGAGGTTGTTTTTTTAAAAAAAAATAAATAAATATATAGCTTTGGAAGGAGAAAAACAATTGTTTTTTTGGGGGGGTGGGTACCACCTCGTACATATACATGAAAACCAAACCCACTACCATCAAGTCAATTCTAACTCATTAAGACCCTGTAAGACAGTAAAACACCACAGGGCTTCTGAGACTTTACAGAGCACACAGCCTTTTCTTTGTCTGACAGAGCAAGGCTGGTAGGTTTGAACCACTGACTATTGCTAGAAGCCCAGTGCTTACCCATTTTGCCACTAGGGCTCATGTGTATAGTGTATGTTGAAGGAGCCATGAACGGAGCACCGTTGTCTCCTGTCGTGTATCTGTTTAGGGCAGTGCGCAAACATCTGTCCTAGCTGGTTCTCATAAACTGCTTCCTTACTGCAAATGGTAAGGCATTTGGGGAACAGCTGCATACAGTGTTCCCTGGGAGCAGTAAACAAGAGCAGTACGGGCTGAGATATGAAACTCTCTCAAGGCTAGGAGAAATTCAAGCATGGGAATAGTGAACTTGTCTGGGAACACTGCCAGTATTTAGTAGATAAGGCTGCGGTATTGTGCCGTCTGTGTCTATTTTGTGCTGCAGTCCTGTAATGTCTGTGTATGTGTGTCTGTCTGGTTCTCGGTTCATTCTCCCTACCTGGAAACCGCGGTCTACGTAATAAAGCTTAAAAAGAAAAGGAAGTACACATGGAATTTAGATAGTGATTTCCTTAGGTGGTGGAGGCAAGGGACGGTCCTGGAGGGGCCCATGGGCAGATGGACACTATTGTTAGTATTTTCATTTTCTTATTGGGAAGTGGTTTGGGGGCTAGCCTGTGTGTCAAAGAAGGAAGGGAGGAGGTTTTGTGTAGCCTAATGATAGTGTTATGGAAAAATGACAATAATCATCCTCTTCTTAGTCCCTAGAGTCCAAAGAAGAGCAAATTCCTTTCTCCCAGCTGACACCCTCTACTGCAGCGGTTCTCACCCTTCTTAATGCTGTGACCCTTTCATACAGCTCCTCATGTTGTGGTGACCCCCAACCATAACATTATTTTCGTTGCTACTTCATCACTGTCATTTTGCTACTGTTATGAATCAGGCGACCCCTGTGAAAGGTTTGTTCGATCCCCCAAAGGGGTCACGACCCACAGGTTGAGAACTGCTGCTCTACTGAGAAGTTGACCCATACCTACTTAATACTTGGGAGGCTTGTAGTCTGATCCTATATGGTTTTAAAATTTATCTATTTCTGTCGAACAAACCTCAAAACAGTAAACCTTATTTGCATCCTGATTTGAAGAAACTCAGCCATAAAAAGAGCATCTTCAGATAAGTGGGGCAACTGCAATACACACGAGTCTCAGGTGAAAGGAAGTGTGAATTCTGTGGGTGTGATACTAGCATTGCAGTTTCACTGCATCTACCTTTCTGAGGTGCATACTGGAGGAGTGAGACAGCATGTCGGAAAAAAGCTCTCGCTTTAACAAGCTCTAGCAAAAGAGCAGGGAGAGGGGCAGATGAAAGCAGCAGCAAACTGCTGGGGGTCATTGCAGCTGGACAGTGAGCACAGGGGCATCTGTTTTCACCTTGACCTCTGCATTCAGAAATTTCCTTAAGAAACACTAAGACAGGTCAGCGAACTGCTGACCCGTGGGATGCTGAGTTACAGAGCTCTGGAGGCTCTCTGACAACACCCAAAGTAGCTTGGGTGGGTGGGTGGGCGAGGGCGCTCCACCTACCACAGACTCTTCTACCTCAACCAGCCTCCTCTCGTCCAGCCTTTCATTCAATAAGCTGCTTTACTACCTTCAAAAGAAGAGTGTTGGGAAGGGGAAGGGGAAGGGGGAGAACGAGGAGAGGGGACGAGATGGCGCCTTTGTTCCCTGCTTCTCCTCCATCCTCAGCATCCCAGGCCATGGCAGCTGCAGCCTCCAGCAGCAGCGGCAGCAGCCAGGTCTCTGGCCAGTAACAGGGGCAGGGACGTCCCCGGAAGTGGAGTGGAGATGGCTGTCAGAGGCCAGCCAAGTAAGCTTCTCCCACTTCCTTTTTCTCTAGCACTGGTTCCAGCTCGTTTGGGACCCTGTGTCCCGAGCAGGACCCAGCAGGAGCACCTGGCAGGTTCTCAGAGGAAAGAGCAACCCAGATTGGCAAGCATGTCAGCACCTGGGCCCGTGTCTTTATTCCACCCCCACCCCCCCACCTCCAGTTTGGCTGCCTCATTGCCTCTCCCTTGGCGTGAGGAGGTGATCTGTGCTCCAGGGGTGGTAGTCCAAAGCGGATATCCAGGCAGGAGAGCTTTACAAGCAAACAAACAACAAATTCCAAACATGGGGGGGGGGGGCACAGGATGACATGACGACTTTGTCAGGTCTGCGAGTGCATTTTCCAGAGATCGCAAATGAGCAGCCCCCTATATTTTATTATGATTTCTAAACTAAAACAAACAGAAAAAAAAAGTTGGTTTTAGGTGGGCATACCCCCTCTATTCCATCCCATTGCCCACCACTCTCAACTCTCTTCTGGCTGCACCTTCCTTCCTAATGCTGTCCACCTGGCCCCGGAAAGCATCTGAGTTTGCAGCCTCTAAATGACAGATTGCTCAAATGTCTGGCTCCCACCAATTCTACTCCTGTTAATTCCTTGCCGTGGAAGTCGAGTGGGCCACAGTCGTGTCAGAAAGAAGTACACACTCACTTTTCCAGGACAGCAGGGGTGAAGAGAATGTGCAGTGGCCACTGTACTTTGTAGGAAAGGCCTAGGGCTGCCCAGCCGGATGCGGGTGCTTCCCGGGGCGAGGTCTCCCGAGAAGCTCCTTCTCTCGCCTGCGTAGCATCTGTACCGATTCAAGAAACGAGAAAAGAGCCTGGGCAACGCAAACAGCATTCAGGAGACGAGCACGCCCTCCCGCCCACACATCAGACCCACAGGCGCCCAAAGGCAGAGGGCAGGGACATTGGGACGGGAGGCTCGCACATTCTGACACAGCAGCCTTCCATTCCAGCAGCATGACACACAGAGTGGCCTGGGCACCTCACACGTGCTCGGTGTCCGTCTTTCCCATACGCAATTAGTCCCGTCTTGGACTGGACAATCTCCAAGGTACGCTGAGATGGGAAAACAGTTGGCAAGGAGGAGAAGAATGGCAAACCTTTGTGCTCCTTCCCATGATACTCAATGGTCAAGTGCAGCAGAGGGAGGAGGTTGTCGTCATCCAGCAGCACCTTGTGCGCCGACTGCTGGAAGGCCACATTCACATCTGGAAGAAAGAGCACGTGAGGCGATGAGGATGCCCAGCCCCCCAGTCTAACACGAATAGAGGATGCAGTAGGATTCGGTGGGTTTGCCTGCCTACCATTCATTCCTCCTCCTCTCATTGGCCTTGAAGAATCACCCCTGCCCAGCACGATAAATGCACCTCCAGTGGGGCTGCTAATACTTGATTCTGGGAGTAAGTAGGTGATCCAGGTGTGATCAAACATTATATAGTATTCTACCATGTTCCAGGATTTTGTTTAGGGACATGAACATGACCCAAGCCAGCCAACAAAACTCTCTTCCGACTTAAAAAAAGGGAAGCCTTTTGGTTCCCAAAACAAGCGAACAGGGATTTCCAAAAAGTCCAAGCTCACTGTTGTCAAGTAAATTCAGACTCACAGCACACCTATAGGGCAGGGTAGACCGCCTGCTTTTTTTTTTTTTTGCGTTTCCAAGATTGTAACTATTTACGGGCTTAGAAAGCCCCGTCTTTCTCCCACGGAGCTGCAGACCTTGTGAATTACAGCCCAATGTGTAACCATGCCGCCACCAGGGCTCCTCCTCCACAGGGACTTAGGAGGATGTAAACTTGAGGCTGCTAAAGGCCATCTTGCCACCCCATGGAGACGGCCTGCCTGGAAGCAAAGCAGAGGGGAAGATGGACAGAGACCAGTCTTGATGGTATCATGTGAGTCATTGACCCAAATTTGGCTTATAACCAGCAAACCTCTGAGCTTTTCACTTATGTCAACGAATTTATTTTGATTATAAATAAGTTCTTTTTTCTCCTTCTTTTCTTTGCTTAAGTGGGCCTGAGTTGGTTTTCGGGTAACTACAAGTACGAGTTAGAGCTCTAAGTCAGAACCGACCTGATGGCATCCAACAAAAGCCACCATCAAAAAGTCTTATTTCAGTGCAGTGACAGCTCTTACTTATTGGGCTAGAGAAATGGTCACCCTGACCCCCATCCCCCACCACACCCCAAATTTCCTTATTTTGGTTTTGATCCTTACCCAACTCCATTCAAGTTTGAATAGAGTACATACTTTAACCAACAGACGTATGCTAAATCTCTGACCTCTTTGGCTACCGTGCTCAAATCGGTAATGAGAGAAGGCACAGCATGGCACTATACCAGTCCAAGCCTTCTCCTAGTAAGCTTAAACTGGCTATCGGAGAGCCTGGGGGTGTTTCCTGCAGTAGAGGACGCTGTGAGACATGTTCCTGGTGACCCTGACAGTCACCAAAGAGAGCACAGAAGGCACAGACAAGATAGGGTAAGACGGAAGGAAAGAATGCTGACAATCCAACTTCCTAGTTCAGGTGTTCGGAGGCCTAGCCACACTGAGCCTGTGGGGTTTCAGACACGTTAGCAAATACACCTGCCTTCTCTACCCAGGGGAATTCTGATTAGGTGTCCATCATTCACAACCCAAAGAGTTCGAATACAACATGGCAAGTAGCAATGTGCCTCAGTGGATCCTGTAATGCTAGCTGGCTATAATCCACTGAGATAAAATATCTGGTGTGAAAGCCAGCTCAATGCTTCCTGGAAGGGCGACAGGCCTGAGTGCGTTAGCAGCCTAACTGAAATGGCCTTCCTGGAACTCACCAGGCTGCTCTGACATGGAATAGGGTCAAATGGGTTGGCAGCTGCTGAGAAAGACCCTGTAACTTGTGTAAGCTGGCAGTTCTCGGGGACACAGGGCAGTTACCATGCTCAGTCACTGCAGTGGGTGGCGTTTTCAGCATGTGCTGAGCAGTGTCAATGAAGGCCTGAAACAGCTCTCCACGTCCCAGAAGGTAAAAGTCTTTAATGATCTGAGGAAAGAATTTCAGTTTACAGTTCAGTAATCCAGCAGCACCAGGAGGGCCTCGCTCTTCTAAGGGAATGACATGCACAGTAGAATTTACATTCTTATCAGTTTGAGCCCAACCTAGAAATGGAGCTCGGTTTTTGGTGTTTACAGGGGGGTATATTAGCAAGTCCTCATGGCAGGATGAGTGGTGTGGGTTGGTAACACAGTTACATTGTGGCAGAAGAACCCTCAGACCCAATCTTGGTATTCCAGTAGGTGGCGAGTGTGAGGTGCTCACACGGGCACAACCACACAAGGCCGCTCCTGAAGGCTGGGTACAGGCAGCCTCCGGAAAGGTTAGGGGAGGCCAGCCACTTCCCACCACTCTCCTTTTAAGGATCGAAGAGCCAAACCGTTACCTTCAGCTGACCCAGTAAATCCGACTCTTCCACCATAAGCTTCCAGAGATGCTGGGAAAAGAAGCAACAACGAACAAAAGTGATTTTAGTTACCCTGGTGGTGAGGGGGTAGTATTTGTGCAAATCCAGCCATGTATTGGGGACTAAGTGCATCTATCAGGACCAAGTAGGATCGAGTCTAGCAATGAAAGGAAGCTTAACAGTGAAAAGGGAAGGGGAGGGGAAAGGACGGCGAAGGGTGCTGGCAAAGGTCCTGAAATTCGAGTGGTGAGAACCACACAGAACGCACCCACGAGACCATGGGCAGTATACTTTCAGATGGCTGAAATGTTAGATCTTACATGATTTTTACCTCAATTAAAAATATCTATGTATACTAATGTGAATGCCATCTACCACAGGAAAGATAAGGGAAAACCATGTGACCATTGCAATACTCATAATCAATACCGACTCATAGTAACCCTATAGGACCCACCCTATAGGGTGAAACTGCCCCTGTTGGTTCCTGAGACTGTAACTGTAAAGATGTGCAGGCAAATAGAACGTAAAAATTTATAAAATATTAAGGTAATGTGCAAATATCCTTGCTACAAATGATGTATGGATTTTATAAGATTTCTAAGCGCCCCCAATAAAAATGATCTTTAAAAAAAAAAAAAAGATGAGCAGAAAGCCTCATCTTTCTTCCAGGGAGCAGCTGATAGTTTCAAACTGCTGACCTTGCGATTAGCAGGCAGGGCTCCTTTCTGTGGCATATGGCCATTAAATAACTGAAAAGAGATCAACTAATTCAAAGAAGCATTTGGCAAAATTCAACATCCATTCATGATTAAAAGACAGGAAAAGGGAGAAAAAAAGAGAAATAGAAGGAATGTCTTTATGCTTACAACATAATGTCTGATGTGAAAAGGCTAAGATAGTTCTTCTACCTCAATTATTAAAGGGGATGCTTTTAATTTCTTCTTAACCCTCAACTCTCTCCAGTTAGCTAAGCTCTAAGCAAATCAAGAAGATACAAAAAACCAAGTACTCAATTTCTAGGGCACCAATCCATCTTCCTTAAAAAAAAAAAAAAAATCTATCTATATAGATAGATAGACAGATAGATAGATAGTTGCAGAGCGCACCTCTGCCACGGTGCTCCGGATGCGATCCACCACCTGCTCAAAGTCCACGAGGCTGAAGCGCGGCTGCTGCTTGAGTCGATGCAGCTCTGCGGCAAATGTGTCCTCCTGGTTTTTCAAGATGGAGCCTGTCAAACAGGAAGACACCATCAAAGGAAGTCAAAGAACCCCCGGCAGAGGCCCGGCTCTCTGAGGGCTGGTCCTGGTTGGGCAGCAACTCCGCTGGCTCCTCAGGAGGCCCGCAGAGTGTCCACATTGCTACCTAAGTTTCTGTCGCCCCTCCTAGACCCCAGCCTGCTGTTGGACCACACAACGCTCCGTCAGAAGAGCCTTTGGAGATGGAGGGCCCTGGGCAGAAGTGCTGTACCTTTCCGAGTGAGGCTCACATTTTGATTCTCGAACATCTGGACAGATTCTCCGACAAAGAGGATTTTCTCAGCAACCCTTACTGGAATGTAGGAGGGCAAAATCTCCACCCGCAGGGAGAACTGCTTTAGAGACGGGGCCAGCATGTTCTCTTCCTCAATCAGGCGCTAGTCAAGGAAATAATCCACATCAGGCCGGATGAAGAAAGGAGACATGATAGCATCCACCAAGCCTCCCAACCACGATGACTCCTTCCCAGAAGGCAGGCCTTGGGAGCTGAAGCTGCCCAATACTCACTGCTGTTGGATTTCATTCTCAGGCAGTAGGGTGGCTTCTTAGACTGGATTTTAGTTCTCATCCAACCTTAACTAGCTGTGTAAACACTTGTACACGAAATCATTCAATCTGGAACCCAATGTCATTTTTACAAGGACAGCTGGTGATCCTGATGCTCAGAGGTGTGAGAACCACTGATCAAGCCTACAGCACCCAAACACCTAACTATCCAATCACAGGACCCTTCTGTTCCCTAACTTGAGTTTGATCTGACCCTTCTCTAGTCCCATCCCTGAGCTCCTGGCTCTCTGCTCTTGCCTTGTGAGCTCTGCTGTTTGCGCGTTCAGATTTGGGCTCCAGGATGGTGTTCCTCAGAGCATTCTCCCTGGCCCTCCCCTTTATCCTCTCACTCCATATACCATTCCCTTAGATAATGACATCTGCTTCTCGGGCTCAACATCATCGTAACATCTTAAAAATCTTTTAAGGCACAGCTCTGTGAAATTATAAAAACTATGAACTGTTCAGACAAAGAGGCAAACAAACAACGCTTCACAGAACCTCTTACCAGAGTTACCCATGGATGCCAAGTCCAACGTTTCAGAACCAAAACCGCCCCCCAATCTGTCTTTGACCTACACTGTTGCCATGAGCTCCACAACTGGACTCTCTCCCTGCCCCCAACACCAGCTACACTTAACAGCCCATGTCCTCCTCACTCACCCAGCGGAAGGAGGGAGTCTGGGCATCACTCCTACCTCCTGATCCAGAGCCAGCCAATCCCTGCGGTCTACTGACGCCCCTCCTACGCATCTCAAGCCCCTTTACCTTTCTCCACAGTTTCGATTAGCCTTGGCTTAGCGTAGTCTCATTTTTCACAAAAGTATCCCCGAACCGTTTTCTAATGGATCTACTTGCTTGTAGTCCTCGTGATTCCACACACCGCACCCAGAGTTATTTTTCCATCTTGCAAATCTGATCATATTTTTGTTTTGCCTAAAATTCTTCACTGGCTCCCAGGTCTTTTCGAGTTCAAGTCTAAATGCCTTCCCATAGTTTACAAACAAGGGCCTTCGATGATCTTGCCTCTGCTTTACATCGTTTCCCACCGCCCTCTCCGTCTGCCCCTCCACATTTTCCATTTTACTCCCCACAGCAGCATTTCCCTTCAACTGAGTGGTTCTCCACATGAGCCTTGTCTTTCTTGGCCTCTTTATCTGTGCACACGTCAGTCCCTCAGCCTGGTACATTTCGTACCCTCTCCTCCCCAAGTCCTTTGCAATTTACCCAAACATTCTGCTCAGACTTCTGTAGTGCCTCTAGGGCAGTGGTTCTCAACCTGTGGGTTGCGACCCCTGTGGGGGTTGAACGACCCTTTTGCAGGGGTTGCCCGATTCATAACAGCAAAATGACAATGATGAAGTAGCAACAAAAATAACTTTATGGTTGGGGTCACCACAACATGAACTGTATGAAAGGGTCGCAGCATTGGGAAGGTTGAGAACCACTGCACTAGGGCTAAGACCCAAAAAGAACCACATTTCTCTTTTCAGAGAACTCAGGGCACTGAGATGTAACGCTTTACTTCTTCCAGGGCAGGGACTCCTCCATTTTATTTGTCTACACAGTTTTCAACAGTGTTGGCACAGATATTCAATGAAATCGTATAGTAGGATAAATATATGGATGAGGACAACACAGGACCCTGGGGAGGTCTAACCAAAACTCCACAGCCACATTTCAAAGCTCTGAGGTAGCAACATCTTGTGAAGATGAGACTTAGTAGCTTCTTAAATGTATAGGTAGGAAAAGGAAAACAAAAGGCCTCTTGCTAGGGCATTTTCTGTTACAGCCTCACATTAGCTACAAAGGCAGTGTTTCCATGTGAAGGGTTTATGGAAGTGCCCAGGCTGAGGAGCGGGAGCAGACTGCTCTCTGACCAGTCAGCTGGTGGCTGTTTGCCGCTCACCAAGTCCTGGAGTTCCTTCAACTGCTTTCCCGTCAGGCCCCCGATGCCTAGGTCCTCCTCATCCTCTTCTGGCTGGGCAGAGACATTACCAGAAGATGGCCCCTGTTTGATGAAGAACTCTTCGTGCTGGTCCAAGAGGAGTCCATGAAGCATCCAGGCCGAGAGCTGCTTATACATGACCCCATGACACACGGCCAGGACTCTAGGGGTAAGGAAAGCCAGAGCCTTAAAAAAGTCCACTGGGGAGCATGAAATCCCCCAGATGCCATAGAAATCACACTTTCAACCGCTACTGTATCACGGAGGCCTGAGCATTTCATGCATCCCAAGGGATGACCAATGACGCTAAAAATAATTGTGCTATTTTAACTTAAGTGCTTGTGGATGGACTAAGCAATTAATGTTCAAACGAGTAACCTGTATAGTGAAATCTGAAATGTTCAGTAAATACTGAGTCTTTTACGAGAGGAATATTTTCTTTTCACCTTTGGTGTCAAGTAAACTTCAAATCTGATACAAAGAAAGCTAAAATTAAGTGGATCTGGATAAGTATCCTTTTCACTAGCACAGATAGAGTTCTTCTCCTTTTGTTAGACTCCTACAGGGGAAGCAGGTTTAATATGTGAGAAGCAGGCTGGGGTCACAGGACTGTGCCACAGATAACAATGAAGAGAAAAGGGAAATTGACAACAAAGTAGCAGATACTTGAATCAAGTGATAAACTTCACACCACCAACAATGAAACATACTGATTTCTGATATGATCACATACGTAACATTCATGCCACAAAGGTTTAACTTGAATTTAATCATGAGGATAGAGATAAGTCCAGATTGTGGAACATTCTGTGCCACAACTGGCAAGCATTTGTTAAAAATGTCCATGTCATTAAAAACCAGAAGGCAAGAGAGATTGTTGTAAATGAAAGGGGACAATAACAAAAAGCCCTGACAAGTTTTTTACATTTTCATAGCATATGGTCTATGAAAAAACAGACCTTTTGCAGGTCTTTTGGCAGCAACTGAGAAAATCTAAATGTTCTAGATCTTCTATTTTTTAATAAATGCTAACTTTTGGGGGGTATACTTTTGATATTGAGTTACATAAGAGAAGGTCTTTTTTCTAAGGAGTTATAAGTGGAAGTATTAGGGATTAATCGTTATGATATCTGGGTATTGTTAAGTGATTCAGCAAAAAAAAAAAAAAAAAGTAGTGTGTGTAGAGAAACTGTAGAAAATGTAGACCAAAAGTTAACACTGGGTGTCTCAGAGGGTCTGAGACTAGAGATGATTTCTACTTTCTCACCTCTGCAGGTCTACAAAGGGGGTACCTCCTGCAAACCACATTTTTTCTTTTCAAAGCTGTGTATTTTACTTTTTTACCAAACAACCTTATCACCTTCAAAGTACTCTCCATTACACTTAATACATTTGTCAAATCTGTGATTCCACTCTTGGAAACTTTTTCAAACTCATCTGTCTGGATGGCTGACAGTGTCTCTTTTTTTTTTTTCATTACCTCTTCTCTGTCATCAATTCGCTGTCCTTTCATATCTGTCTTCATTCACGGAAACACAAAAGCCACATAGAGCAAGGTCAGGTGCGTGAGGTGCATGGAGCAAGAAAGGGATGCTTTTTGCCACAAAGGCACACTGAGATGAACGTATGAGCAGGTGCATTGTCACGGTGGCAACACCAGTCCCCCGTCTGCCACAAATCAAGCCTCTTTTGTTGCAGTCACACAATCTTTTCAAAACATTTAAATAAAAAACTTGGTTATCAGTATGACCTTGATTAATAGTATAACGAACTCCAAATGCACCATGAGTTGACATTTTCTTCCATTTAGGAAGTTGATGGACATCCAATCAACATTTCACCTTTTTTGAAATGAGAAAACCACTTGTACACTTGTTTTTCTCATAGTGCTGTCCTTGTAAGCTGTGTTCAACATCAAAACAGTTTCTGCAGCATTTGTTCCCGAGCAGGAAACAAAATTTCACAGCCGCGCACACTGTTCTCTTAAATTGGCCATAAAAAAATACGAGGTTTGAGCGAAGCTGCTTTTACAAAAAAATTCACTGTGAGCAGAGAGACCTTTCCCAGGCGGTGCCACTGGATGCACTAACTCAGAGTGAGCTGCTTGATGTTTGCTTAAGCGGGAAAAATGGGTACTTAGAAAAGCTCTGCTCCACCCAGCACAATTCCGGTGTCTTGGGGGTAACCCCCTCAGAGTTACTACAAAGTGCACTTCTTTGTTAGAAAGAAGGGCACAGTAATGTCTCTGAATTATGTTCTACCAAGTGTCGTGCTCTGCTGAGAATTTACCTGGGCAAAGGTAAAAGTGGGACTGGTAAAGAGTTGGGAGGAACTGCAGAGATGATCTATTCCAATGCTGCAATTAATGAATGATACCCCCTTTTTTAAAGCAAGGAGGAAAAACAGCTATGCGGTTCTTTAAAAAGTTAAACACAATTACTCTATGACCTTAGTGAATTGAAAACAGACTCACACATACACTTGACATGCATTCTCTGAGCACTGTTCTACATGGCCTAATGTAGAAATACTGCAAATGTCCATCAGCTCCATAAACTGAGGATGATACACATCCAGTGGAATATTATTCTACCGTGAAAAGAATGAAGTACTGATACATGTTACAATGTAAGCGAACCTAAAAAACATGCTAAATGAAACAAACCAATGCCAAAGGTCACATATCGCCTGGTTCAGAACAGACAAATCCAGAGACGGAATATGACTGGGAGCTGCCAGGGCTGAGGAAGTGGAGGAAAGGGAATGGGGGCACAGGGAGGTTTTCTTCAGTGGTAATGGGAGACGTTTTGAAAGTAGACAACACTGTAAACATGTCATGTGTCACTGAATGTAATTTTATGTTATGTAAATTTTAATTTAATAAAAAAAGATAGTTCTAATACAAATTTTGTTTTAAATCAGGAGAAAGAAAATAAATGGGAAGATCAAATGGGCGATTAGTCATTTGGACAAAAAAACCCCCACGATTTTTCTCACATATTTCTAAATTTTATTAATTTCTAATATTTGACAAAATCATCTTAAAGAAAACTCATCTTTTTTTAAATTTTAATCATATTATTGGGGGGCTCTTACAGCTCTTATCACAATCCATTCATCCATTGTGTCAAGCACATGTGCACATATGTTGCCATCGTCCTTTTCAAAACATTTTCTTTCCACTTGAGCCCTCGGTATCAGCTCATTTTTTCCCCTCTCTCCCCCACCCTCCAACCCTCATGATCCTTTGACAAATTATAAATTATTGTTTTCATGTCTTACACCGCTTACTGTCTCCCTTCCCCGTGTGTGTGTTGTTCGTCACCCTGGGTGGGTGGGATAAGACATCAATCATTGAGATCGGTTCCCCTCCCTCCCCCCATCTTCCACCTACTTTCATCGTGTCACTACTCCTATTATTGTTCCTGGAGGGTTTAACTGTCCTGGATTCTGTGTGTTGAGAGCTTTTTTTTCCTTTCTTTAAATCATTTTATTGGGGGCTCATAATCCAAACATACATCCATTGTGTCAAGCACATTTGTACATTTGTTGCCATCATCATTCTCAAAACATTTTCTTTCTACTTGAGCCCTTGGTATCAACTCATTTTTCTCCCTCCCTCCCCGCCCCTCCTCATGAATCCTTGAAATTTTATAAATTATTATTTTGCCATGTTTTACACTGTCTGACGTCTGCCTGCACCCACTTTTCTCTTGTTCGTCCCCCAGGAGGAGGTTATATGTAGATCCTTGTAATCAGTTCCTCTTTTCTACCCCACCTTCCCTCCACGAGAGCTCTGAACTGTACCACTATAACTCATCATATCACAACGCCAGCTCACTGACTATATATATAAAAGGACTACATATCCTTTTCATCTTTGATCATACTTAGATTTTTATTTTTTATTTAGTTCACATTATGAGACAGATACAGTTTTGTACCCTTTTCTCAGTTAGTATTACAGACTGTACTTCCATGCTGTTATAGTAGTTATCATTTTAATGGCTGGCCTCGTTCTAGTCTCTCAGGAGAGTAGTAACATGTCACTACGTATGTTTGCGCGTCTAGTTATTTTCTTCTTCAGAATACTTTTGTTAGGATAAAGTTCCCAAGAGTAGTAGTATGGGATAATAAAGTACCAACATCTTAGGCCTTGATGTGAGACTCCGAGCTACTTCAGTGCACATGCGTTGACACAGCTGAACAGTGTCTGGCACATGGATGGAAGCTCACCGAGGAGAGGGTCCAAACGTAAAAAGGAGCGCCTCCAAGTTACCCAGGCTTTGATATGAAACCCTGTGGAATCCTCTTTTGCAACGTCCTGGGCCATCAACAGAGTTATGGGCTCCTCCGCTCAGGGGGTTTTCTATCTTGGTCTTAACTGTCCTGAGAGGGAACCCTAAGATGACCCGAAATCAAGTCCCTTAGCCACCCATCCCCAGCCCATATCCTCCTCCGTTCAGCCAGGACTTACTTTTCTAAAGCACTGCGGACAGGGGGCAACCCCCCACAGCTGTACTTGTAGACGGTTTCCAGGATTTGACAACCATGAATCTGTGGGAAATACAGCTGTGTCAAATGCTCAAGTAAAGAATGGCCATAATCTGTCACATCATTTTCTGTTATAGTCGTTCTCAAAGGAAGGACTCCAGGCTAGTACCACAATCACCTGGTGACTTGTTAGGAAAGCAATCCTCAGGCCCGTGCTGGCCCGACTGAACCAGAAACTTGGGAGTGAGGAGGCAACTCTGTGTTTAACAAGCTCCCAGATTATTCTGATACACAGTGAATACTGGACATCCTGCACAAGAGAAACCAGAGTCACTCAGCAGTGAAAGCTAGGAGTCTCCGTCAGACTCTGATCTAGAAGGCCCGCTCCCACTCCCACTCATTTCATATGGTCCGGAAGAACAGTCTTGCGGCTGAAATCGTGATGATTACACAATCCTCCATTTAACTGAATGGATAAATTATATGGGACATTTATGCCAATGAAACTATCACTGACCCACTGCCATTGGTCGATTCTGACTCCCAGTGACCCGTTAGGGTGGGGAGAAGTGCCCCTGGGGGTCTCTGCGGCTGTGAATCTTCATGGGAACAAAAAGCCGCCTCATGTTCTCCTGAAGATTACCTGGTGGGTTCAAGCTGCTGACCTATTTGTTAGTAGCCCAATGTAAAACCCACTCGGTCACTCGGCCTCCTTTTTGAGTAAAATAGTCTTGGGTTTATTTACTGCTACCATGTGTGCATATTTGAGCACACTGACTAACCTATTTGATTGTGATACTGTATGTCAGGCACTAAGCACCGTGCCGAGTACAAAGTTAGTGCTTAATAAAGGTTGGGTTTATATTTGTGCCTTAGCTTAGCTAAACATATTTCATCAATTTGTGCACTACAAATGAAGCTTTATATGCCAGTTTGGTAAGATACTAGATTCTTCTGATGTGAAATCTCAAGGTTACTAACTCTGCCCAGGAAAGACAGACACGCTCCTGGCACTGGAAAACTAACTGTGCAGTGTACAGAGTAAAAACAGGTGACAAGGACAGGTACATTTAACTAGCAAAAGGGCACATGGGTTTTACCCAATCACCTCATAGTTCTTAGAAAATTCCCAGCACTCTAACCATGAGCCTAACATTCATTGTCTAATGACTTTCTCTCTCCTCAAGGTCCACATTCAAAAGTCCTAAACTCTGAGAATAAACTGTTTTCAGCCCAAGAACCCACAGGATTCCACCCTTTCGGCAGCAGTGCTTGGCTACATCCACAGCACTTCCCACCTGTAAAAACAGGGCTGTATCTGATTTATCGTGGCAACCTGGATACTTAATTTGATAGACAGGAATGAATGACTAAATTAGCAAAAACTAAAACCAGGGTCTTCAAGAAAAGAATGTAAGTCAAATTAATTACTCATTTTTTCCTCTGGTGCTTATGAAAGCAAAGGGAATAAAGGAAAGTTCTCACCTTTTGACTTTTAATTTGCTCCACGACAACCATCACAGAGGGAAAGAGGAGCTGGAACTGCAAAATGGAGAATAATGAGAGAGCCTGCGATGATGTGCAAGAGACAAGAGAGCCTGTGATGATGTGCAAGAGACAAGAACTGCAACTCAGTACAGGCTCCTGCTGCTGACTACTTTGTTTACACTAAAGAGGGCAAGCCCACAGAAGAGGACCCAAGAAATGGATCCAGTGATCAAAGGCCATTTGATGGACAATGGGGTTGGCTCTACACTAGAAAAGGAGGGCGGAAGGAGGCAGTTCCTATTTCTGAGGCTGGCATAATTGTTATTACTGATGCTAGTACAGACAGTATTAACATCAGCCATTAAGTTTTAACCACATTTGGGTCTCTTCAAACCATTCTGATGTAGTAAAGCCTACGAAATGTACAAAACACAAAATGTTCGGCTCTGAATGCAGGACAAATAAGTTTCCAAATACTGGTCAGAAGTCAGATGATTCTAATGGAATCCACATAGATGTTAAGGTGTTCTGTGACTTTGGCAGCATACCTGATCCAAGGAGTAATTGACATGTGATATGGAGAGATGGGGATCAGCCAGAAACTGCAAAAACAAGTACACAGAAAGCAGTGTGGTTAGGGTGCCACACAAAATATGTTCAATTCATTTGACCTATGAGAACTAGCAGAGAATCCAAGAATGGGTTTAGTGTTAGTTTAGGTTTCTGAGAATTGATCACCTATAGCAGATTATTAATTCTGCGTTTCAGGAGATTACAAGCCCAAGACACGAACTCGTAGACACTCACTCCGGCACGTTGGCCATAGCTGTAAGCCACCTTTGAGTATGGCTGGGCAACCAGAAAGCACACTGTACCTTCCAGCCATGCAGGAAAGAGTTCACTCTCCACTGTTAAACCTGAGCAGAGGATGTTATCAAAGGGTGTTTCAGAAACAGCCTTTAATCAGTGTTCCCAAACCAAAACCACACCCACTGCCATCAAGTCGATTCTGAGGACAGAGCAGACTGGCTCTGTCTGGGAATGGACACCTTCCTCTTTGTCCTGCGGAGAGGCTGGTAGTGGGACTCATGCAGCCCCACTCATAACCGGCTTTGCCGCCAGGGCTCCCAGCTACTGTCCCAGAAGTGCTATTTTCTTTGTCTCCTCTGTCTCACCTCTTGTTCTAAATCCAGCAGTGCTTGGCGATAAGGCTGCAAAACCGAATCCAGCCCTGTGCAGAAGGCCCTCAGGTAGATTCCATGTAACCCACCTTGGCCCTGCTGAGATGGATGGTGATCCTGAAATCAAACAGAAGGTACAGTCTTAGCTTAGGACCTGAAATGTCAGACATGATCCTTTATTACTGGTAGGTTTGAACTTAAATGAATACTGCCCCTCAAATCAAATACTGTGCTTCAGTCAGAAGAAAACTGACTGAAGATAAAGTGTTTGAGCTCTGACCTTTTAAGATAGGGTAACACTGAAATGTCCCAAGTAGATCCAAATGTTACAAATCTCTCTCAGAATATCCTAACTCCTGTATGTGGCATGCAATGACTTCTGCAATACCACGAGTCTGACCTCCAACACAGGCTGTTATTTACAAATACGGCCTTTTCCAAGAAATCTGCCGCTTTTGGTAGGGCTTTCTTATGTGTGCCCTCATTAATATCTCACAGCCAACTGTCATCGAGTAAGTTTTAAATTTACACATAGTTTAAGTATTTTCTCAGCAATTAAATCAGTTGGACATGACCAGAATCCCTGTTGGGCTTCCAAGGTGAAAACCTACGCCTTCAGGGTCCTCTAAGTCCATGGACCAGAAAGTGATGCATGGACCAGACTGGCGGGCACTGGCGGCACTGTCTGAACAGCAGCTTGCCTTTACTTTACAAAGCCCTCCTCTTTTGTCCTCAGACAGAATCTTTCTTTCACCTGTGAAATACTCTGCAGGCCTGACTCAGAGTCACCCTTTTCTACTTACCACTGGCTGAAGTACAGACCATGAACTTTTTACAAAGAACTGTAAAATTTCTCTTTAAAAATCCAAGTGCTTACTATGTAACAGAGACTATGTGCAGCACTTGGCAGGAATTACCTTACTTAACCCTCCCAGTGTCACGAAGTGGGTTCTATAGATTGGCCCATTCAACATAAGAAAAGGAAGCCTCTGAGACAGGCGGCAACCCAGTAACGATGGAGCAGGACACAGACCCTTGGCTCTCACATACTCCTGCCTCCCAACCAATTCCTATCACTGAACTCACTGCCAGCGAGTCTGTTTTGACCCATAGCGGCCCTCTGAATAAACGGCCCTTTGTGGTTTGAGGCTGTAAATCTTCATGGGGAGCAGTCATCCTCAGCTTTCCCCGGCAGAGTGGCTGGCTCAAGTACGTTTGAACTGCTGACCTTGCAGTTAGCACACAGCCCAACAGCGTAATCCACTCTACTACCAGGGCTCCTTTTATAGCACTACAAGAGATTTAGTAAATGTCTACTATGAACTGAAAGCACCGTCCCTAGTTTACCTTTTAAATTTACAAGTAAGAAAAATGAAGCCCCCAGGCTGTCGTGGCTTTTCTGTGTGACACAGACAGAAGCCGAGTGGCAAAGGAATCTGAAGAATAATGCTTTATGTTTTTCACCTCTGGAACTGGAACGCTGTTGCAGCTTCAGTGGATGTAATTCAAGTCTCCTAAGACTCAAGCTGGGCCGGTCACCAGGAAAGGACCCCGTGTTTGAGAAAGCAGGGGGACAAGGGGAGGAAACCTCTGTGAGATAAACTGACACGACAGCTGGGGCCGAGCTGATGGCAACAACCAGCAACCACCTCGCCTAGGGCAAGCACAGAGTCAGTTGTTGAAACTGGTGCCCAGGGAGATTTCTGCTTTCACTTGAATACTACTTCCAGTGGTGAGAAATTCTTAACTTCTTGAGACTTACTTCCTATGCATTCCTAATGGCTTTGCTGAAAGCTTGTTGTAGACAGAACACGGGGCCATGTGGACTGTGAGCAGATCTGAAGAACTGAGAGGGCAGTGTTCCCGTGCCCTGGACACAGGAACGTACCTGCTGCTGCACATGGCCTGTGTACTGTTCAATGAACTCCGTGAAGCGAATGTAGTCTGTGCCCAGCCGGCAGAGGCGATTCAGGACACTGCTTTCACTGGGATGGAGAAATGGGAAGTCCTGGGACACCTGTAGGAAGTAAAGCAATGCTCAAAACACTGATTCTTGCTACTCACACACACACATTCGTTACAGAGCACCAAATGCTTCATACTCTTCACATTTTCCCTCAAGACGCCTCTTGTCAGGCTGGTACAATCTAGGTAACAAAGGTATTCCCGTTCTACTACAAAGGAGTTGTTCCCCACACCCTACCTGTTTATTTAAATAGGTCATGTATGGTAAAAACGAAAACAAAAGTGTACATTAAAAAACAAGTCTCCTTCCCAGTGGCAGCCAGCACTCCCCAGGTCTAAACAGTCTTCCTGGAAGGAACAAGGATATGTAACAAAATTGCAGTGACATTTTAAATCTTGTTTTCGTCTCTGTAAAACCAAAACCAAATATAAACATACTATGACTACTCCCTGTATTTTCCATTTAGTAAGTGATCGCCTGATAAGTGATATAAAAGTTTCCCAGGGGGGTGAGCTTGTAACTCTTTCCCAGGGAAAGCACAGCTAAATGCTTATGGAGGAAGTGGAGAAGGAAAGCGTGGGCTGAAAAGAGAAAAAAGAATGCCCCAAAGGAGCTTAGCACACCTAAGAACATTCTCAAAGTAGATGGTGAGATGCTTTAATGAAAGGTGTTTTGTATGATGCTCACCTTCCTGACGCAACCGCTGAAGACAAAGTGGGTGAATAAGCAAATGTGGTGAAGAAAGCTGATGGTGCCCGGCTATCAAAAGATATAGTGTCTGGGGTCTTAAAAGCTTGAAGGTAAACAAGCGGCCATCTAGCTCAGAAGCAACAAAGCCCACATGGAACAACATATCAACCTGTGTGATCACGAGGGAAAGGAAGTGGGTGTTACCAAACACAAGGACAAGGGAACAACAAATGATCTAAAATTGATGGCGAGGAGGGTATAGGAGGAGGCCTGGTAGGGCTTGATCAAGGGCAATGTAACCGAGAGGTATTACTGAAATCCAAATGAAGGCTGAACATGATAGTGGGACAAGTGGAAAGTAAAAGGAAATAGAGGAAAGAACTAGGAAGCAAAGAGCATTTATAGAGGTCTAAATACATATTTACATATGTAAATATATTTAACCCTATAACGCCAAGCAAGACGTTTTCGTAACATTTAATTAAAATGTGTCTGGTACCGAAATTATAAAGCTTTTGGAGCCGACAGTGATGTTGACGAAATCGTTGCACTTTACTAGTACAAGTGCATACCGCTAGTCACGCATTTTAGCGGCAAAATGCTTGAATAGTGGCATGTGTTTTGACCTATTGTGCGTTTGAGGTTAAGTGGTCCTTGGTGTTCAGTGCATTTAATGATAATTTTCAATTATCTCCCCCCCTCTTGTGGGTCTCCCCCTCCCCACTCCCATTGGTCAGTTGTTTTCTACTCCAGATTGTTTATTCCACCTATCTTATCTAGATAGACATGCAGAAATGAAGTTTTAGTGTTGATATTTTTTGTATATGTTCATAAAACTGTAGTTTTTATGTCAAAGGTGTAATACTCATTAAAAAAACATTATATTTATTATATATTTCCGCTTTTTCAAAATGTAACGACTTACGTTCGTCTTTTGAATCGATGGTGATAAAAATTACCACAGCATGGATTGTGATTTGTTTTATGGAAAACGGCGAATTTATGACCTAGTTGGAAGCAGTACAGACCACACAAGGAGCCAGATGCTTATATGGATGAAAGTGGTAAATAAAATGTGTATTATATTAAAATTTTTTGATTTTACAATATAAAATTTTAATTATATTGCTATTCAAACTATTTTGATAACAATATTTATTTTTTTCCCATGATAGGAAGTGAATATACACCCGATTATTCTGATTTGGGTGAATTAGAAGACCTTGTACTTAGTAATGATAATACTAGTGAAGATGAGTTAAAAACTTCAATTGTTGAAGGTGAAGAATCAATTCCAATAACTACAAGTTCAAAGCCACCTACATCAAGAAATTGAAGAATTCCTCTTTGGTGGCACATTTCTGGAGACGGCACAGCTAGACCTATGCCTGAATGGTTAGGACAAATAGATTCTTCTGGGGGAGTAAAGCGTCTGTTGGATATTTTAGACATCTTTTCTCGAAGGATATCATTACTCATATTGTCGACCAATCAACTCTATGAAATCCAGCAAAATCCCAATAAACCTCTAGCACTGAGTAGCCAGGAACTTGAGCAATTTTTGGGTACACTGCTTGATTTGATAGACTCGCTAATTGCACTGTACAGAATTCACATCAGATCGAAAAAATATTATTTTCATTTTATAGATGTGACTATTGTGAACTCTTATCGTAGAGACTGTGAGAGCCTTCAGTCACCCACCCCCCCAAAAAAATCCAAAGTCTGCAAGAGTTCAAAATAAGCATCGCCGGAGCTCTTCTTGAAGGAAAAAGTAATGGACCAACAGAAAGAGGCAGACCTTCTACTAGCTTTACTGATGTTGAGTTTGCTAACAAGAAGAGAAGAGGTCCTGTCACCAAAAGTATCCCTGGAAGAGATACCCGTTTGGATGGGCTTCACCATTACCCTGAGGTCACAAACAGAGGAAGATGCAAAAATGTAAATTGCAAGAGTGCACCAGTATTTTTCTGCAGCAAATACAAAAGTTTATCTCTGTATCACAGAAAAATATTGTTTTCTTCAATTTTACACTAACTAAAATTATAAACAAATAAATTTTGTATTATCTTTTATAAATAAGTTTTGTTTTTTGTTTTTGTTTTTTTTTCTTAGCATTTGTACATCGTTTCTCAAAACATTTTCTCTCCACTTAAACCCCCGACATTAGGTCCTCATTTTTCCCCTCCCTCCCCGCTCCCCCTATAGTCTGTGCCCAGCCGGCAGAGGCGATTCAG